AGCAGGCTTTGGTGAACAATCATGGAAATTTTCAGGTCTCTGTGGAAATCCAACAAAAAGTTATGACAAGAGAAAAAAGTGCTTCATTTCCAGAGTTTGAAATCTGAAGAAATCTGAGCGAAGGACGAATTTCCTACCCTCAAACAAGTCCAACTCATTTCAGAACGGTAATAGGTGAGAAAGAAATTCTTGAATTGTGAGCGTCAGGAGTGTCTGAAGATATACCGGGACAAGCCTCATGTCTTAAAGTCGCTTCGTTAAGGAGATATGACGATTCGAATATGCCTCTCATTACAGAAATCCAGCGATGATTTTGAACAAGCTCTCCATTGACTTTATATGGAGAGTTTTGTGACCTTGTGTTGGTCTGAGGAGATTTGCCAAAATTCTATAAATCCCACAACAATGATAGTGACATTTTCTGAAAGCCAGCAAAAATACCTACGTTTTGATGTATAATTTGTGGAAGTTGAGTGAAAATTGAGCAAGTAGCAAGAAGTTGTTCGGACATGAAGTGAAAATTGCAAAACCTTCAGTGGCACACTGGAAGCCAAGATCATAGCAACCATAACAATGCATGTATTAAACGCATGTATTAACGCATGTATTAAATTTGCATTTAATTTGTCCCATTGAAATGAATGGAAAACTTCCAAAATTCTGCTAAATTTTGCTTGTTTTTGAAACCTAACTACTTCCTCATACTTTCACCTAGAACAACCATTCAAACTTTAAAATGTTCACAAATTATTGGGCTATTCAGGTATGATTCAGCTATTTCAAATCTTTTACCGTTTTACTTTTATGCCTCTTAAAGTTTTCAGTTGCAAAATTGTGATTTTTCACAAAATACATGCGTTCACCAAAGCCTGCTGTCTCTTACGGTGAAAGAATGATATCGATACTCCAAATAGATTTAGAGTTAGAAAGCGTTGTTTGAGGGCAAGTCAAGGCAGTTTTTGCTTCGCTCTACTCAGTTATGGTGCATTACAAGTCAAATATCTTTAATAATTCATATTTTAATGATAAATTGTCAACACTTGAAGATTCCCCAATCACGTCTGAACAAAACGGTGTAAGAATGACCGCTCTAGCCCCTATAGTTAGGAAATGATGGTCATTTGTTTGAGGGGAGTCCTCACTATGAGAAATAGACTGCAATAATCCTGTGTCTCTCTGTGCTGCGTGTGTAAACAGAAGCACCTGTTTTGGCGGGAAGACGTAAACAGCCACTCTGATTGGTGGATTTAAATTTGGCAGCTCTCTCCCTCTGTGTGTGTGTGTGTGTGTGTGTGTGTGTGTGTGTGTGTGTGTGTGTGTGTGTGTGTGTGTGTGTGTGTGTGTTTAGTGGGAGAGAGAGGACCCTGCCCTTATTTGGCAGCATGTCATTGTAGGATTTAAATTGAATATAGTTAGACTGGTTGACTGGATTAGAGCCTGTGTTTGTGTGTCCCTCTGTGCATTTGTGTTTCAATATGCCTCCATATTTGTAATTTTGTAAGTTATTACTATTCTGCTAAATCATACTATTTCTGCTTTTCATAGGATTTGTGCCTAATATAGTATTTCTGCTAAATATAGTATTTTTGCTTTTTATAGGATTTGTGCCTAATATAGTATTTCTGCTTTTTATAGGATTTGTGCCTAATATAGTATTTCTGCTAAATATAGTATTTCTGCTTTTTATACTATTTGTGCCTAATATAGTATTTCTGCTTTTTATAGGATTTGTGCCTAATATAGTATTTCTGCTTTTTATAGGATTTGTGCCTAATATAGTATTTCTGCTTTTTATAGGATTTGTGCCTAATATAGTATTTCTGCTAAATTATAGTATTTCTGCTTTTTATAGGATTTGTGCTAAAACATAGTATTTCTACTAAATGTAGTATTTATGCTTAATCATAGTATTTCTATATATTTCTGCCAGGTCCCCAGGCAGCCAATCCTCTGTGAGGACTGAGACATTCAAATTTTCAAATCAGGGCCTGCACGGTTTCCCAGCCAATCATATATGTGGTCTGAGGAATACAAATTTGCATATTGGGGCCTTCATGGCTTCTAAGCCAGCCAATCATATCTGAGGGCTGAGGAATTCAAATCCACAAATCAGGGCCTGCACAGCTTCCCAGCCAGCCAATCATGTATGTGGGCTCCAGGCATTCAAATTTGCATATTGGGGAATTCATGGCTTCTAAGTCAACAAGTCATCCATGTCATATATCTCTAAAAATTCATATTTTAATGATAAATTGTCAACACTTGAAGATTCCCCCATCTCTTCTGAACAAAACGGTGTAAGAATGACCCTTCTAGCCTCTACGGTTAGGAAATTATGGTCATTTGTTTGAGGGGAGTCGTCACTATGAGAAATAGACTGCAAAAATCCTGTGTGTCTCTGTGCTGCGTGTGTAAACAGAAGCACCTGTTTTGGCGGGAAAAAGTGCACAGGCTCTCTGATTGGTGGATTCAAATTCAGCAGCTCCCAGGCTGACCTAGAAACTTACTTCTCTCTCCCTGTGTGTGTGTGTGTGTGTGTGTGTGTGTGTGTGTGTGTGTGTGTGTGTGTGTGTGTGTGTGTGTGTGTGTGTGTGTGTGTGTGTGTGTGTGTGTGACAGAGAGAGGGAGAGAGAGAAAGCCTTTTAATGGGATGATCTCATTCTAAGCTTCAAATTCAATATATTTAGACTGGTTGACTGAATTGGATCTTGTGTGTGTGTCTCTCTGTGCATGTGTGTTTCCTTATGTGTACATATTTCTGATTGTGTGGCTGTTATATATTTTTTTTGCTGATTTTTTTCATTTAACAAGTATATTTGAGGGACCCTCAGCATGTTCAGCATTTTTTCAGCTGTCCATTTTGCTTTTCCGATTTTTCTGTTTAACTTATTACTATTGTGCTAAATCATACTATTTCTGCTTTTAATAGGATTTGTGCTTAATATACTCATTCTGCTTTTTATAGGATTTGTGCTTACTATAGTATTTCTGCTAAATGTAGTATTTATGCTTAATCATACTATTTCTATATATTTCTGCCAGGCAGCCAATCCTCTGTGAGGACTCAGACACATATCACATATCAGGGCCTGCACGGCCTCCCAGCCAGCCAATCATATCTGAGGTTTTCCGTTTCCTCTCTCGTCATATCTCAGCGACGGATGTACATAGAGCAATGAAAATCGCAGTCAAAGTACACCAAAGTCCGCTGATTCACCCAGTACAAGTATGCTTCTAGTCCACCTAGTTTTTGAGTTACACAACGTTTTGTAACTCCAAAAAACGGCGTTTTTCGCCTCTCACCGCGATCTAATTCTGACTGCTCATCACCCTGTTTTTCAAAGCGGCTGCTCTCTTTCCCAGTGGCGCAGTTGGCAATGACACGGGTCTGCAAGCCAAAGATCGTGGGTTCGATTCCACCTTGGTCAACATGTTTTTTTCCCTACAAATTAATACACTGTCACAGACCAGTAATTCATATTCATCATTTATTACAATTCTGCAAACTTTTATGATTTTACCAGCTTTTCTAATATGGACCTCACATTCTTGTTAACACTCCATGGCACAAATACTCTTCCCTTTAGGCTATTTCTCCCATTTTAAAGTATTACTCCTCCATAATTGTAATTCTGTTAAATCAAAGTACTTTTACTACATCTTAGTACTTCTGCTCAATCATAGTATTTCTGCTAAATCATACTATTTCTACTATATTATATTTTTCTTTCTAAATATAGCATTTCTGCTATATAATTATATTTCTGCTATGTTATAATATTTGTGCTAAACCAGAGTATTTGTGCGGAAACAGTATTTCTGCCAAATGATAGTAATTCTGTCAAATTATAGTATTTGTGCTAAAACATAGTATTAATTTAAAATTACAATATTCATAGTTCATCACAGTGTCTCCTGTAAATCACAGTATTTCTGCTATGTTGTATTATTTTTCTAAATCATAGTGTTTCTGTAATGTTTAAGTATTTTTGGCTAAATATATTCTTTCTGTTATCTTATAGTATTTCTCCTAAATTCTTGTATTTTTGAGAAGTTATGTTTCTGGTAAGTTACAATATTTCTGCTAAGTTCTGCTATGCTATTGTATTTCTGCCAAGTATTATGTTTCCTCTAAGATATTGCAGTTCTGCTAAATTATTACATTTTAGCAATGTTCCTTTGCTTCTGCAAAGTTTTTACAATTTCTGCAACTTTTCAGCTTTTTCAGCTACTTTTTGCATACAGCTTCAGCTTTAAGCATCCACACTGCATTTTCGCAGGAAATGCAAATTTTTCTAGACTGAATGGCAATCCCACCCGAGTAGGTGCGGGTGCAGGAGTAGGCTGCCCTCACATTGGAAGACAGGACAAGCACTGGCAACAGCTGGGCGTCAGCTGTCCCCGCCTGAATAACAGAAATGGGTGCAAAAATGTTTTTGAGCTGAGATTATTTCAATGATTTTGGTGTTTGTGAAGCTGACAGCAAAGTAAGTGAAATTATTGTCTCAGAATTGGACAATGTTCAAGGTGACGTTTAGGTCTTTGAGTCAGCAGAATATATCACTGGGTTTTCTGTTCACCAGCCCAGTGACACTTAACGCACTGTTTCCAGTCCTGTAGAGACTGAGTTCTTGGTTCCCCAGTCGGCCTTTTCCAAGACTAAAATCTGTGAACTCCTTCATTTTCCAGAGTTCTCCAGTGGACCACATTGGAGTCTTTGCAAGGTTCATTTTGGCCCCTGAACCAAAGTTTGACAACCCTATTTTAGATTACTGTAGTGACTGATTCAATAATGATTTCAAAACTCAATACTTTTTTTGTTTTAGATAAGTTTTATATTTTGACTTAGCAATTTATTTTTGTCAGGCTGATGGTGCTCAAGCCACAGCGATTTCAGTTTTCTGTGCACATGTTTGAAAATTCTTGCAAGTCTAAGAACTGCTGATTTTGATAAACAGCCACATACTGATTGTGAATCTCTATCTCCTTCCACATTTCAGGGGCCGGCTTGGGGCGTCTGGTTGGAGAATGCATGGCATACTGGTTCCCGGAAGGCATTCATGCAGGTCATGCTATCTATCCCATAGTGCCAGGAGGCTACGCTGTGGTGGGTAAGTTAGCGACTCTCTCCTGACTACATTCTACTTAAAATGACAAATACTTTCTTTGGTACAAAGTAAATAAAATAACATTCTTAACATTTTGGAGACCCTTGTAGCTCACAAAGAACCCTATGCACACACCTCGGGAGTTTCGTGAATGTTTCAGCACTTTTGCTTTCCAGTGGAGACACTGTAGTGGCGCATGATCTGAACAGAGGATAAAAGAGTCGCCCAGGAGGTAGTAATGAAGAAGGTCAACCAACCACTGTATTGCCAGATACTGCTCGTCCACAGAGCTGTATCTACCTTCCCGCTCAGATAGCTTCTGGCTTATATAAATGACCAGACAGTCAAACCCCCTCACCTGCTGGGACAAAGCTGCCCCAACTTGGAAGGCCTTAAACAGGCAGGGGTCTCAAACTCAAATGAGCCGCAGGCCACTTCTGGCACCGTCATCTCATTGGAGGGCCACTTAAGTGTCCAAGTAGTACAAAAAAACAAAAACACCCACTAATATTTCCTAAAATGTAGTGTGTTGTTTGTTTTATTTAATTCCAAATATTGTGTAACAAGACAAAATTGCAAACATGAAAACAATTTTTTTCTCACTCTTAACTATCTGAATCCTTTCAGTTTCATTTGTCATATGCAAGTTAGCACAGGGTCAGCATTGCAATGAAATGTATTTGACGAGTAGAAGACAGTCACCCAGCAGTATAGCACAGTATAGTACAGTAGTTTCAAATAAACAGCTCTTTCTGGCCAGACACGTGGCAGCACTTTTGCTATTTTGTTTGTATTTAACAAAATAAAAATGCAGGCATAAGCATACACATTAGTTTTCGACTACAAGTGAAAATTTTCCTTCCAAATAAATCTCTCACTGAACTAACACAGCCCTCAACATGTTTGCACTCTCTTGTTACCTCGGCCAGGCCAGTAACTAGCTTTACTTTGCTAGCGAGAGAAAGAAGCGTTGAAAGGCTGCTCCAGCAGAACTTTATTGTTTCGGAGGAAAACACGAACACAGTGTACAGTCGAGTCTCAATAGCTTACTGGACTCATCAGGCACTGTTTTTGGCTGCAGTGGTTATTTTTATATTTACATGCTTCCATCTCCCAAGCACCACCTCACCTCCTCTCTGGTCGTGCAACATGGGCAAGATACGATGGCTGTCGTTTTCTCTATCTGAAGGTTGCCTGCAGATACCTCTGTCCAACTGTACACTTCTTTGGGTTGGCTAAGAGCCCCACCTGCCTCAGGCACTCCAGGACCATGGACTTCCATTGCATATGCTCCGCCGAAAACTGATCTGGTCTGTAGCTGTCCAAATGGAAATATTGGCTTCAGGCCCACTCCAACGTTCGAGCGGGGAGCTAGGGCTGGGCGATGTGACCCAAAATTCATATCTCGATATTTTTTAGCTGGATGGCGATATAAGATATATATCTCGATTTTTTTTTTTTAAGTTTTAAGTTTTAAGTTAAGAACAAAAAGAGTTCTAGTCACACTGTGTCCCAGCTGTCACACGGGCACTTTTATTTACATACAGCGTAGATGTACATGAAGAAATTACTCAAAAATAAATTATCAGCATTTATTAAATAATCATGGTCCATAAATAAAAGAAAACAATGTTGTTTTTGTGCATAACAAAAAGCTCACAATTGTGCAGTCAAAATGTAAACTGATAGACGCTGAGCATAATAACAAAGAGACAGATTTCACAGCTGCACCACGTCTCTGAACAGGTGCCATTTGTGGTCCTTATACACACACAGTACGTATCACTCCGCGAGGCTCCTCCCCGGTAGCCGTAATCCTCCGACAATCCATCAAGCGGTGCAGCTCCGTAGCTTAGCAAAGTCATATTAAAACATTTTTTGACAGATTGCTGAGCGCTGTGTTCCACATAAAATCGGTTCGTGGTCAGTAAGCACAACCAGAATTCATACATAAGGCGCGCTGATTTTCCGCTTTCATCTTGTCTTTTTTTTTTTTTTTCTGCCTGTCCCGTTTGGCTCTTTTGCCATCAGAATTGTTGTCTAAAGGCAAAGAAAGATGCCCAACGGATTTACTTTACCAAATTGACCATCCCAGCCTTGCCGTAATGGTCCATTTGATTCACCTTTTATTGTTTATTTTATTTTCACTTGCTGAATACGGGACAGACTTGACTGGGGGAAAGAAGGGGAGAAAGAAAGAGGGAAAGAGAAACAGCTGAGAAGAGGGACGGGGGAGAAGGGCAAAAAAGAAAACCAACAGAATGAGCAGAAAAAAAAAATATATCGATCACCTGGATCACCTGTTGAGAAAGAAAAAAGAAAACAAGCAGAAGAGAACAAGAGTAATAGAATAAACAACATCACAATGATGAAGCAGGTATGGAGGAGATCAAAACTCCAGACATCCAGAGGCCCCCAGAACACAAGAGACCAAGGAAGACCAACAGAGGGGCAGCCGCGCCACTGTCCCAGTAAGAGCTGAGGAGAGTCCCAGATGAGGGCTCACTCAGCAGCCGCGGAGCAGAAGCCAGGGGGAGTTGCAGTGACGCGCCCGTGAGCTCCGCCGGCAGCCAGCTGTGCCTGAGTGACCGAGCCCCAGGCCGAGAGGCCGAGGGCACCCCACCTCCGAAGTGGCCCGAGCGAGCCCCAGGCTCCAGGCCCCGATAAGCGGCCGCCAAGGAGTGAGCCGGTGTGTACCTGGACGCCCATCCCCGGACACAAAGAACCACCAACGCACCGATGTCTGAGGGAGTCCGCCACTGGCAGGGGAAGTGGTGGTGGGTGGAGATAGGCCTCCAAACCTTGGAGGGCCTGAGATGTCCCCAGAGAGGTGGCACCTGACACCCAACCTGACATATAGACACAGACATACAGGCACACACATATACAAACATCCATTCCCACCCTCATGCTCTCATATGCACTTACTCCACACTCAACCAACGTGGAGACAGACATAAAGAGACGCTGTACACACGATCACACTCCCCAAGCGTACTCTAAGCCCCGGGTATAGGTACCCTTGCCCCTGGAGGGGGGAACTGCACCCAGACCCAGGTGGTGTTATCCTTTTCCCTGCGGTGGGGGGAGGCAGACCGCCCCGACTCCGCAGCAGCAGGGAGGCCCCACACTCCAGACCGCAGTCGGACGGCCAACTCCTCCTCCTAGCCCCCCCGCTCCAGCAGGTCGCAGAGAATGGGGGTGAGAGAAGACTCCAAACCTCCCTCCACCCGCTCATTGTAGTGTTGATGCATGTGTGTTCTAAGGTGCATTTAAAACCCAGGAGGGCATGGAGCTACCTGCAAGAGAGCAGCAGGTAAGCGCATAGCCCCTCCTGCTAGCCCTCAATGTCTACGTGTATTTAACCTTGAGAGGTGGGCAACGACGCCAGGGGTGGGGTGTACACCCTGATGGTAATTTGGACTCCGTGTATCGTGCCCACCCCCAAGATCCTATATGTATGTGTAATGAGAGTGTGAGTAATGTGAATGTCTAAGTTGTGAGATAAAATTGAGGCAGAGGCAGCTAGAAGGGGACGGGGGATGGGGGCGGGGGGGGGGGTAGCCTCCTCTGCACCCTGGTGACATACCCCTACTCCAAGGCCCTGCATGTGTGGGTGGTTGTGGTGGAGCGGGAAGAGGGAGGCAGCTGGAGAATCTTGTCATTGCCTGCAGGTGAAGCTATGGGGGAGGGGGAGTTGTGTTCAGTGAAGGAGAGGCGAGGCCGAATAACGTTGCGTAGAGACAAAAGTGGACGAAAGACAGGCAAACCTGCAGCTCCACAAGTATAATTATAACGTAACATAGACTATATCAATATAAACGATATTGTCACATCTTATATCTCGTATGAAAATATATCGATATTTTTAAAAAAACTCGATATTTCGCCCAACCCTACGGGGAGCCCCTCCACAAAGTGTTCGAGTACCCCCGTCTCCACCAGAGCCAGGGCCGGGCCACAACTATAGGGCGGTAGTCACCTGGCAACTGCGCCAAACAAGGCGTCTGGCATAAGAGTACGGCCGGTCCTCATGCCCCGTCAAGTCTCCTGTGAATCGTTGGAGGTGGTCCTTCAGTGTGAGCTCCAGCTGGTCAACATTTTCCCATTGGCCATCTGCAAAACAACCCCTTGCCATCACAGGTGAGCTGAGAGCCGCCAGCTGAGCTTCCTCATCAGCAGAGGCAGCAGCCACAGTGTCCAATCTTCCTTAAGTGCACCCTCTCCCATGTGGTATAGAGTCACCTCCACATTGGGAGTAGTGGTGGTGCCAGCAAGGAGCCAACCCTACAGCTAGGCTCTCCACCACATCCATCTGGCACTTGGACTAGTCCTGCAGAAGGCCACGAAAGTCACGCTGTATGGTCACCATTTGAACTAGTGCCTCAACTGGCTAGGCTAGTTGTTGGTCTGCCATGCTGCAACTGGGTTTTTGGCACAACTGTAGCACACAAACATTTAAGCAGTAATTTCTCTCGCTGTTCCTCTTCCCAACAAAAGGTGCTGCAGCTTTGTCCGGAGCAGTCAGCCACTCATTTTCCACCGTGGTCATGGTGCTTGAGTTGACTGGACAGATCTCCCACCTTCTGCCGGCCCTGATAGCAGTGGTCCTGGCCAACCTTGTGGCCCAGTCCCTGCAGCCCTCCATCTATGACTCCATCATCAAGATAAAGAAGCTTCCCTATCTCCCAGAGCTGGGCTGGGGTCAGCACGAGTATGTATACACTGGAGAAACACAAGCACACAACTGTCATGATAAATAGGTTTTGGCCTTTTGAAAAACTAGAAGTGGGAAACGTCAAACAAGAATAATTTTAACTGTTTAATTATTAAAAGCTAATAATAACTGCCCCCCAAAAAAACAAACAAACAAAAAACTAACGTATTACGTAGGTAATTAAGAACATTTGGAAATGCTTGAAATCAATGTACATAAACAATACTAAGTTAATATCTGATCAGGTATTTGGTGACTGAAATGATACAAACTTCATAAAGTTGTCTTCTTCGATGTTCAAGTCGAAGCTGGTCAGTCACAGCGGTTGGCTGCTCCTCATTGGGCCCGATTCTCCTCCCATTAAAATGGAGCTGCATGGAATTAAACAAGAATCTATAAAAAAAAAATCTTCCTACAGAACTTTGTTGCTGCCATTTATTTCCCTAAAAGCATGCTCATGTTTTTCCTACTCTCGCGAGTCCTTCCTATCTACAGCAGATTAATAATCCTCTCCGTTCTCATTTCAGGGTGTATAACATTCGTGTGGAGGACATTATGGTGCGCGACGTGCAGTACATCACACTCAGCTGCAGCTACAGAGACTTGCTAAACATCCTAATGAAAAGTCGACTAAAGGCTCTACCCCTGCTCACATCAGCTGGTAAGTCACTGCTACACACTGTGATGTTCATATAATAACTCACTACCCCCATGAATAAACACATACATGAACAATAGATACGTCTGTTTTTAACATGACTTTATCTATTAGAATCGACGATGTGTTGCACTGCATGAGGCAAATGGTGGTCACACCAGATACTGACCGGTTCTGGGTCCCCAGACCCCCAATAGCGCAAAAAACTGCACATTCCAGGGTGGCCTTTTGTTGTGGGCAGTCTGAGGTACACCTGTGCACTACTCATGATGTCAGATCAGCATCCTGATGTGGCACACCTGTGAGGTGGGATGGATTATCTCAATATAGCAGATGTCCCCACTACCACACATTTGGACTGATTTGTGACGACTGTTTGGGAGGGATGGTTATATTGTGTATCTGGAATGAATTTTAGGTCTCTACGTCCATCCCATGGGGAATGGGAGCAGTAACAAAGGTGTTGCGTTTATATTTTTGTTGAGTGTAAGAGGCAACTGTACAAGTGGAGGACGAAAGAAAAAGAAGCAGGCCTAAAAAATATATATATGTGACCTTAAGAAAGAGGACATGCCTCAAGGACATGGTTGGGATCGCCACAGTTAGCTCACTCCTTATTTCTAAAACAAGTTTACACACTCTTCCCTTATCTCACATAAAAACCTGCTCCTTCGCCCCTTTTTATCCTCCTCTCCCAGAGTCAATGATCCTGTTGGGTTCCATTGAGCGTACCCAGCTCCAGTCGCTGCTCTCGCAGCAGCTCAGCTGTGCCAGACGTCTGCAGTGCATCAAAGAACGAGGCGCTGAGGCGAAGAAGCTCCTCTCCACTGAGTCGAACCCACCCAGCAATAACAACAGCAGCCTGCAGACAGGCCCGGAGGAAGGCCACATCCAGGTGAGAGGTCACAGGAGGACGCATGCTTTGTGAAAGGAGCTCTAATATGAGTGACAGATTCAACATTTTCTTTCACCTGAAACTTTAGACTTATCTGCATGTTTGTTATGTTCACCCATTCACCTGCTCATGCTTCATTGTTTTTTTCCTCAGTTCTCACTCTTCCTCTCGCTCCACACCCCGTCTGGTCCATTGCTTGCTCATAGCAATTGTTGTGTATCAAAGTGTTGAATTGAATGAATGCACGAGGTCATTTCTGTGTTTGCAGAGGAAATAAACTGAAATTGGCAGACAGGTTGCAGATAGATGTCTATAGATGAAAGATGTTTTGTTGCAGCTGCTGCACTGCATTGCTTAACATGAGTGAGTGGCTAAGCAGAACGTCCTCAGGCATGGATGTGGAAGTCGAGCAGTCTGCTGTGATACTGTCTGCTTTTGATTTGATATTGTCTGATATGTTGATAAGCATATTTTCTTGGCAAAACATGATTTTTTTTTCTGGCCTTTTCAAAAATCCTCAGTATACGTAGAGAAGATGTTGTCAGGGAAAGGAAAGTCAGCAGGGGGACTGACTGAGGTCATACATTTGAGGCCAGACTAATATGAGAATTCTTAGTGTAGCTCTGGTGCTGCAGGTTTGCTCTCTTCATTCGTGTGCTCGTGTTTCTGTTGCATCAGCCCACAGTAGTGCACGTGATTGTGATTTTGTTTAATCAGTCTGTGTGTGTGTGTGTAGGTCACTAATGAGGAGCTGAACCCGCCGCCTGTGGTGGAGCGACCCACTGAGCTTTCCAACAGTAAGAACTACACTTACCTGTGCAAATACATGCACACAGCAGAGTTTCAGAAGACCAGATTGATGTGGCTCGAAACAAAAGGAAATAGAAATTCAATAGAAGTGTGGGTTTTGCTCTCTCTGTTCCTTATGTGACGAGCAGCTCCTGAAACTGTTTGAATTAAATAGGTATAAACACACTGGTTTTTCTAGCTCACACTTTAAATGTTTGCTTTGTGGCCACTGATTAAAAATACAAGACAAACCAGCTAATTTCACTCCCTGAGCTCACTAAGCTGGACCTCCTGACTATGTTGCGGTTTGTGCGTCTGTGTCTCTGTCTCTGATGCAGGCTCACGAGATGAATCAGGAGTCACACTGAGAAGCATTTTCTGTGCTAGTTCAGATGCAGAAGAGGTAAGAGAGTGACATCCCACCCACACACCCACACTTCCACCCTGCAGAAAGGTGTCCTAACATAGCCCGTCTCACTCAGACCTCTGGAGTATTTTGGCAGATTGCTGCAAAGCACAGCGTTGGTAGTTTGACACTGGACGTCATCATCAAACAGCATCAGCTTTAAGTTGCAATGTTGATGTCCTTGTAGTCACTCATTCAGTGACTCATGTCATTTTGTCCATCTTCTGTGCACAGACATAGTGCTAAATGTTTATGGAGGTAACAACCTGCTGAGGGCTGTTGTTTGCCTTTACCTGTGTTTGTGGCATTCACACTGAGTTGTGTTATTGGGTTCAGTGTACACGCTGACTATCGTTGCTTTCTGTTGCTTCTCAGGTACAAGATGATCGAGATGTTCAAGATCCCACTAGTGAGGTAAGATGTTCAGACAATCCACACAGACAGAGCAACCAATGAGCAGATCACAAGCGGTCGCAGTAGAGTGTTCGTTGCTCTGGGACATGAGAAAATGGGGGGACTACAAAGGTTTCCACCCAGCCCCCTGTTCAGATTTAGAAATGAGGAATTCTCTTGGATAAGAGGCGAAACATCTTCAAAAACAAGAGTTTGAAAAGAAGGTGATGGAACTGTTTTCAGATTGTCTTAAATGGTAAATGGCCTGTATTTGTATAGCGCTTTTCTAGTCTCTAAGGACCCCAAAGCGCTTTACACATCCAGTCATCCACACATTCACACACTGGTGATGGCAGCTACATTGTAGCCACAGCCACCCTGGGGCGCACTGACAGAGGCGAGTCTTAGCCAGCAGTGTGACAGCAAATTGCTCTGTTGGTGTTTAAGATAAGATGAGGCCTAATTATTCAAAAAATACACTTTAGGCCAAGAATGACAGGTTGTATTACTGTAAGCGAATCATTTATTACAAACTAAAGTCATCTTAAGGGAAAATAATGTAGATCACTAACTGCTATGAAGTGATCAATCCAACACGGGATGCTGAAAAGGAGTTTCACTCTTGTTGACTTGCAGATTACAGACTGGGAGGCAAGGCAACTTGATGAGAGGGTCAACTTCAACAACTGCAAGATTAACCCTGCCCTGATCCAGCTGCTGGAGTGTACATCACTGCATAAGGTTTGAATTCTGAATACTGCGACAGTCAGTCTGTATGTGTCTGTAAATGGTAAATGGTAAATGGCCTGTATTTATATAGCGCCTTACTAGTCCCTAAGGACCCCAAAGCGCTTTACATATCCAGTCATCCACCCATTCACACACACATTCACACACTGGTGATGGCAGCTACATTGTAGCCACAGCCACCCTGGGGCGCACTGACAGAGGCGAGGCTGCCGGACACTGGCGCCACCGGGCCCTCTGACCACCACCAGTAGGCAACGGGTGAAGTGTCTTGCCCAAGGACACAACGACCGAGACTGTCCAAGCCAGGGCTCGAACCGGCAACCTTCCGATTACAAGACGAACTCCCAACTCTTGAGCCACGAACGCTGTCACAGTGACAGCAGTATTTTCCAGTGTTTTAGGGTTAGGGGACAACGGTTGACTTGTATTTGATCCTTTAAAGAACGTACGTATGATTTAAAATGATAAATTAATGCAAGGTGACCTAAAATGAAAAGATCCACAAACAGTTTGACAGAACAAAATGTATATATTACATCCTATATATAATATTATAATACATATATAATATTACATCATGTCTACATATACACACTGCAATTTCAAACTGCACCATTTCTGTTACTTTCAAAATAAGTGTATTCCATAACAAAGCAATTGTGGCAAATATTTTTTGCCGACTGGGTGATGGCTCAACGTTGTCCTAACAATGATCAATTAGAGAAAAACAAAGATTTGATGTTATAAGAGCAAAGTGAAAAAACAAAGGAAAAACAAATACATCTCAGATACAGATCAACTGCAAAGAAAAGGAAAAAGAATAACTATTGTTTTGCTGAAAAAGGAAGGTCCTTATGAAAACTACTAACTCCAAAACCAGCATGTGTCATTAACCAATATTAGTGCCTTCACAGATGTGTGCTAATGGTCCTCATCGAGCTGCCACTTTAACTGTCTGCTAACAGCCCTCGGTTATAGACAAACGTGACCACGACTGAGAAGTCAACAGATTCTGCCTTTTAAAGTTGAAAGACATCATCCAACTTTCAGCACCACTTATTTAAAGATTTAAGTCGGTGTATACTTTTGAACACGTGTGGAGAAAATCCTAAACAGATCTGAACTTGTGCACCCAGTTCCTGCTTTTTAATTAAAGACGCTGCTCAATCATTCAACAGTTCAAAGAAACCATTAAAAGCCACCATGATATTCATGCTCATGATGAGTGTTGTAAACTACTGACCACAGTTGTATGTATGCTAACCGCAGCCCATATTACTGCCTCACTAAACTTAACAAAATAGTAGCCTATATTACTTCCGTAACACACATAATACACCCAATAAAATCCTGTGTGCAGGTCACATGTGCAGATTAAACAAATGTGTTTTGATTAGCTTCAAACATTTCTTAAAGCCATCAAGTAGAGTTAATAGAGAGTCTTCTGTCCACAGGTGTACACGGCTTTGTTAAGCATGTCGGTTCCCACTCGCAAATTTCCCACAGTGGAAAAAAAAAAATCCCATTTAGCTGAAAATGTGACAGGTTGAATGACTCAAATGTGATTAGATATTGGTGAAGTTTGGATAATTAAGATCAGTGGTGCATTTTCCAAACTGGACTTTAGGTAAGAAGAAAGTTTTTACCTACAGACCTCTGCTGTTTTCCTACAGACCTACACCATCTTCTCTCTGCTGGGCCTCGACCACGCCTACGTCACCAGGATCGGACGCCTCATCGGGGTGGTTTCCATCAAAGAAGTAATAGTCTCTCTTTACAGGACTTTTGGGGTGTATGGGTTTGATCACTTAATCAGCTGCGCTCCACCAGCAGAGTTGGTAAAAGTACAGACATTCTGTACTCAAGCAGAAGTACAAATACTACTATTAAAAAATATTACTGTAAAAGTTGAAGTACAGAATCAACTTCTTTACTCCAGTAAAAGTAAAAACGTACAGGCTCTGAAAAGCTCTTTGGAGGATGTTTCTGTTTCTGTGCAAAGCTAACTGAACCTTGTGCTATATTAGCATAATATTAAAATAATATCAGTAGATGTTAATACAAACTTTATTAAACTCTAAATATTCTCATCTTGAATCAGAAGTAAATAGAAAGCAGCTCTATTTTCTTATGCCTACATTATAGTTGGGGACTGTAAACAGGGAAATGTGCACCGTCAGAGGTTAAAGTGGGGGAAACTAAACTAAACTAAACTGGTTGTAATGGTTCAGTGTGGGGAAAAGAATCAAACTCACATTCATTTCCAGTAGATTTTCTTAGTGTACAGGCTGTGATCAGCGGAGCTGCTAACACACCTGGATTCAACCAGATGTTTCCTGCACTGACTCTACACTGTTTATGCCGCCTTTACGTTAGACTGGATGAAGTTGGTGTGAAGGTGGAATTCAGTGAATGAATCTGTGCTACACTGTGAGCTAACTGTGACCACGAAACACAGCCACTGTGCAGCAGTCACTGTTCTTTACTTTAAACCAATCACAGTGCAGCAAACTAACCTGTTTATCCTGCACTGACCTGTGAGTGACAGCAGTTAGTCTGCCCGTCGTTCTCATCTTTCTCCATCTCTGAGTGAAGCTAGCGTTCTTTCTTTTCTCTCCCTGTGAAATCCAGCAGCTGCACTTTAGCTGAAACACACTGTGAGACAAACGGCACACAGTTTGTGTGTTTGCTGAGTTGAAAAGTCACAATAACTTCACAATTTAAAAAAAAAGCTTATGCTCACTCCTCTTCTGTAGGGCTAGCTAGATGCCAAAGTATCACAACCGCAAATTATGGACCTGCAGTCGTTCCGATGTTGAAAGGAAAAAACAAACCAAAAACTCACCACCGTCCCACTTTTAAGCCCTGACTTCTCTATGACATTTCCTTGTGATTAATAAACAAACAGACATCCTTTCATGTGTTTCTGTTTAGACTCACACCAGTTTGGTGTTTGGAGGCTTGCAGTGATGTGAAATAATAACTCATATCTGTTACAGCAAAAGCAATGAGCCTGTTTTGAAAATGTAAGAAGAACAGATTTGTGTTTAAATATGTAGGGAGTAAAAGTAAAAAGAAGTCAGAAAATTAAGTCCTCTGGTAAAGTACAGATACCTAAAAATTGTACTAAAGTATAGTAACAAAGTATTTGTACTTTGTTCAATTCAATTCAATTCAATTTTATTTATACAGCGCCAAATCACAACAAAAGTCACCTCAATGCGCTTTATATTGTACAGTAGATACAGAGAAAAACAATCATATGACCCCCTATGAGGAAGAACTTTGGCGACAGTGGGAAGGAAAAACGCCCTTTTAACAGGAAGAAACCTCCGGCAGAACAGGCTCAGGGAGGGGCGGGGCCATCTGCTGCGACCGGTTGGGGTGAGAGAATTATGTCCCACCTCTGTCCAACAGCAAGAAAAAACACAAACCCAGTCAGGGCAGATAAACCCATCCTCTCCCAGTCTGCCCGTCTCTCACACAGACACTGTCACATCTCTGATCGACGGACGGCTAAACTCTCAGAGCACATTGACAGGATCTGCAGCACTTTTACTCACAACAGCCAAAACATCCCATATTTAAAAGAAGCCAATTAAAGGAAAAGCTCTGAAAGACCAAAACATTGAGGTACACCCTTTTTAATAAAGAAATTATACAGCTGAAAAAAAAGCATTCTTATTATGTACTGACAGAACAACACATTACATATGTTCCTTTAATGCGGGGATAATAGATTAATATGCACATAAAATGTATACATCATTGCTTTTATTAGATATGAATTTTTATGTGCTGTACATATAAAGTCTTCAGGCATGAGAAACTCTGAGCCTTAAAAAGCAGGTCGTGCAACTGGCACTACTACTACGTTGTTTCTTTCTCTCTACTGTCACCACCTCTTTCTCCCTTTAATGCTATATGACTATGGTGGTGATCTGGCACCATATAAATTAAACTGCAATCCAAAATAATAAGATAAGATAACCTTTATTAGTCCCACACGTGGGAAATTTGTTATGAGCTTAAAGCCTTGAGTTATGTTTGTGTTTGCATGGCTCAAACAACTTTATTGGGATGTTACTCACCTGGAATTGAACAATTCCTGCCTTCTTTCTTCATCTAGCTCCGTAAAGCCATAGATGGCTCAATGACTCTGAAAGGTGTGAAGGTAGCCCCCCCTATGGCCACCTTCAGGAACAGCAGCTTGAGCAGCAGCCAGAATGAGACCACCTATCTCCAAGCTGTGAGGCCACCAGAAGAGCACGTCACCGATGCACCAAAGCACGTCTGCTGACGTGACCAACGGCAAGTCTCGGGAGGAGAAGGAGGAAATGTCAAAGTGCTCAAGTCTTTAATCTCCCAAAGCTACACGTGCAAAAATCAAATACAGACAGTGCAATGTGTATAGGTCTGTACATTAGGGGGGCAGATGCCTCAGCTTTTGTGTTTTCCTGTTTCCACTCTCATTCCTTTCTTCTTCACTGACATACCTAATAGTCAGGTGTTAATTGTCATATATTATTGGTTATGTCTTAATAGTCAGGCTGAGAGCTGAACCTGTGCAAGCAGACGTGCTCCCTGCCAGTGATGGAGGCACCTGTAGCTAATTTCATCCTGTCGCCACAGCTCTCACAGGCATAGAAACACACCTGGATTGTTGTCCAAATGCTCATTTCACAAGTGCCTCCTCTTCGTTATCACCAGGAATAAGCAGAGAGTGTGAGTGTGATAAGTGAGGTTTTCCCAAAGGAGAGCAGGGGCGCGGGGAGTCAGTTTGACCACATTCCACTCGTACTAAAACTTTAACCACATGTGAATTTTCCACGTACTATGTAGTATGTTCAGATTAAGGCTTAACTGTTACAATTTCATTAAAGATGAAGGATTTGAACTAAAAAAAATTTGATGTGATATTTTTCAGTTTCATGACTCAAAATAGTTGCTTCATATTTACTGAGGGTAAAAATTGCTTCTTTTTGTGTGGAGTTTAACCCTCACCCAACCAGACCGAGTCGAACAATATCCTGACCTATCTCACCTTTACACCAAAATCAGACATTGTGTTGTCAATCAACAGTGAATAAATGCATGACATTTTAACAAACCTCTGTTTTGTTTAAGAGTTCTTTCTGTCTCTACATTTTCATCAGGATTTCTGCAGCTGCTCGTCTTTGCCGTCTGCCCTCTTTCTACCCTGTAGTAACAGCTGGAGTGAAATTTGTCTTTCCAGATGGGTTTAAATGTGTTACGTCTAAAACATTTGCTGATACGTGTTTTCAGCAGTCATTCACACTTTTGCAAAATTTTGAAAGAAAAAAATTGTACATTAGTAAATCAAAAGTTGAAAGTAATTCAAAGCAGGACTACTTTGTCAGTAATGTCTTGTTCATTACCTTTTGCAATATTAAAGGATTATGATGGTAATAATTAACAGCTGCCTTGCTGCAGGCGGTGACTACAGAGAGTTCAGCAGGCTTGACTTGGATTTTTAGACACTACATGCTATTTCTGTCACAGTCTGTTTGGCTACACTCAAGCAGCAACCTTTCTAACTTGCTAACTGAATGCCTACACCACAACACTGTGGCGAAAACCACTTTGTATAACACTAAGCAGTCCTTAAATTGTCTCTTATGATCACAGCCATTTTTTATGAGTAAATATCACAGAAAAACCAAAAACTGCATCAGGAACTAGTTCTTACTCTGCAGCATGTGCACATCTGTGGCTGCTCCAGGTTTCCTGCAGCATTCTCTCCTTGTAAAGCAGTATTTCTAGGGGCCACTGGGAGGCAGCCTGTCATTGTCAACATGACAGCAAAAGTACTCCTCAGTTAGTGTAACTTTGACCTGTAACGCACAGGAGTAACACAACACCTGATTATAGTTGTGCCCAGACGTGCACAACTATAATCAGGCTGTCAGCTCACACTTTTTATACACCAAAGATACATCTGCAGACACTGGACTACATTCTTGCTCTTTCTGTTACGACCCGGCACAGGGGTAACAGGGACTGAACATGAAGCTGCAACTTCCCACTCCAACCACTCCTAAGAAATGCCAGCAATAAGGTAATTGAAGGAGCTAGCAGCAAATTATTTACTTCAGACGTGAGCCGTGAAAAAAAAAAACAAAAACCCACCAACAACACAACAGACAACAAAAAGCTTCCCTATTAAAACAAAAGCAAACAAGACCATTTCTAACCTACTCTCCTATAAAAACATGGGGGAAAGGGTTCAACAAAAAAGGGCTTCTCACTCCTACTAAATCTGCTGCAGTGCTCAATATATACAATGAAAACTAAATTACAAGCAATGGTTATACAACTATTTTCAGAAGGTGCTCTTCGCACAAGATGTTTCAGTTACTGACAGCTCACACCTTCCAAAAACACTGCAGCTCAGGTTTTCCACACAAAAGCTCAACTACAGAGAACCAACTGGCACTTTGTTGTTGGTAGCTGTCACGGTATGGCATGGCACACCGTGGAAGGAGTGGGGAAGGAAGACCCAGGCGCGGTGCTCTATGTACAAACAGTGTTTATTTACAGAGTGAAAACAACGTAACAATAAATCCCCGTGTTCTCCCAGACTCCCGTGTCGTGTCTCCCGTGAATAGTCCGTGTGCTCTCTGCTCCCGTGTCAGCACCCCCCGGTGCTCGCTGCTCTCTGTGCCTTCCACGCTCTTCCTGCGGGAAACAATAGCGCAGCTGTCAGGACACTCAGAAATGGCAGGCATACACTTTCTGACTAAACTTAGACAGGGTGACTAACATGGAGTCTCAAGCAATGATCCCGCGTCGGTGGGAGCTCCAAGACTCTCTTAAGTAGCTCCCCCGATGAGGCCTGATCAGCAGCAGGTGTGTGGCTTCGGGTGTGGCCAGTCCCCTTGCAGGACCACACCCTCCAGGCCTGACGCCGCCTATAAACAGGTGCTCAGCCACACACACACACACACATATATACACAAGCACAGAGAAGGGAAGCAAAACCAAAATGCATATAATAATACTAATAATATAATTCATAACTGCTCAGGGATCCTGGGTCGCTCAGACCCAGGACCCTGACAGTAGCGGAGTCAAGGAGAGGGGCGAGGTGGCTGTCAGCTGGAGTTTAAGGTCAAAGGTCAAGGTCAAATTTATTTATATAGCACATTTCCACACAGACGATGCTGCACAAAGTGTTTAACAATATAAAAATGCCATTAAAAGGAAAAAGTGTAGAACAATAATAACAATATGAAACAATGATAGGACAATCAAAGAATTAAAACAATAACTAAGACGATCTAATATTTAGGGGGAGACCATTCCAGAGTCTGGGACCTGCCACAGACACGGCTCTATCGCCACGAGATGTGAGACTAGTCCGTGGGATGGACAGCATTAGTTTTGAGCTACACCTCGTAGTTTTTCCTGGAGCATAAACAAAAAGGAGCCCAGACAGGTAAGAAGGGGCTCGGGCATTATGCGACTTAAAAACAGAAAGTAAAACTTTAAATTGGATCCTGTAGGAGACAGGAAGCCAGTGTAGAGAAGCTAAAACTGGGGTTATAAGCTCTCTCCGTTTGGTACCAGTTAGCAGGCGAGCAGCTGCATTTTGGACCATCTGAAGACAATGGATGAAGGCCTGGTCGAGACCAAAATACAATGAATTGCAGTAGTCCAATCTACAAGTAAGGAAAAGGTGAATGACACGTTCAAAGATGTTAGCCAGGAGGTAAGGCTTTACCTTCTTAACTGAAAGAAACAGGACTGGACTACTGCGCTCACCTGCTTATTCAATTAAGAGCCTGCTGTCCAGTAAATCATCCAACCCCAGGAGCACACACACACACACACACACACACACACACACACACACACACACACACACACACACACACACACTAACTTGTCTTTCAGTTAACTACATCTGTGAACTGGCTAAACTCAAACACCAGCTGTACAGAAAGGTAGTGACTTTGTTGTAGACATGCTCACATTTAATCTAATATGAGGAAAGTGTTGTCAACAATAATGGAAGGCATCAGAGGGAGAGTACATGGATGTGCAAGGAAGAAGATAGGTAACGGTAGAGGGGAAGGATATGTACTAATAGGAAGGGAAATTTGTGCCTTATCAGTCTACCATGTGATAAATCTTTGGACTAACGGCAAGGTTTTCAATGATGTCCAGCAGGCCTGAGTCCTTAGAAATCACCAGCTTCAAATGAAGCCAAGGTACTGTTAGGTCCATATATATTTGGACACTGACACAAGTCGACTTTCAGCTTTTATTTGAGGGTATCCAAATTTAATTGGCTAAAGGGTTTAGGAGTTCCAGCTCCTTAACATGTGCCACTCTTTTTAAATGGACCAAAATAATAATAATAGGACAATTGACTTAAGGCCTATTTTATTAGCAGGTGCGGGCTATTCCTTGGTGGCGCATGCATGAAAAACAGTTAGCCGTGAACAGACAACATGTGGTCAAAGGGGAGAGCTGTCCCTGACAGTACTGTTAAGAATGTCCATGGATATAAAAAACCCTTTCACAACAGCCAAACATCGAGCAACACTCTGCAGGAGGTTGACGTATGAAAGTAAATACAAAGGTTTCACTGCAAGATGCAAGCCACTCATGAACCTCAAGAATGGAAAGGTTAGACTAGACTTGGAAAACATCTAAAAAGGCCAACACAGTTTTGGAAAAAAGTATGGAGAACGTGTGGAACAGCTCATGATCCAAAGCATACAACATCATCTGTAAAACACGGCAGAGGCAGAGAGATGGCTCAGGCATGCATGGCTGCCAGTGGCAATCAAGGTCTCTTTATTGATTTTTATACAATCACAACAACAAATCAAACATACAAGCAAAAGAGCATACTACATATAAACTGAAACCCCACCCTCCCATCTGCCAGATTAAAACTGAAGAAGGGGCGGGGATTTGACCAAGGCAGGTTGACAAAAAAATTGACATTTATAGACATGCACATGCAGCCAATTGTGCAGAGGCAGCTATTGTTCATCTTTCCATTTCTCAATAAATGTCAGAAATGGTGTAGAAGCCGGACGTTGGTCCTTTGAGGGAGCATCTCATCTTTTGCAGTTTAACATGCACAACTTCTGTAATCCATTATGAACATGAAGGGGCCGCCCCTCTAGAGCCTGGTTCTGCTGGAGGTTTCTTCCTGTTAAAAGAGAGTTTTAAACAAAAATGATTGTTGGGTTATTCTCTGTATGTATTACTGAAGAGTCTACCTTACGATATAAAGCAGCTTGGGACGACTATTGTTGCGACTTGTGTTACTTATTATTATGTGTAATCATTTACCATTATTCCTTACTCTGAAGCACTTTGGTGTGCCCCTTTTAAAAGTGCAGAATACCTTTTTCTTTTTTAAAAAACACACCAGAAATGAAAGCCTCCACCTGGCAAGGAGGGAGGGAACATATGGTTTCTAGTAAGTGGTGCAAAAAGAGAAAGACTATGTAGCCTTAAAGTTTTCCTAAACTGTCATTTTTGACCAGGACATGTCCTACAACGCTCATATTAAACAAATATGCTTTCTTCCATTTGTGCAACATCTCTAAAATTAGAAATATCCTGTCTCAGAGTGACGCTGAAAAACTAGTTCATGCATTTATTACTTCCAGGCTGGACGACTGTAATTCATTATTATCAGGATGTCCAAAAAACTCACTGAAAAATCTTCAGTTAATCCAAAATGCTGCAGCAAGAGTCCTGACAGGGACTAGAAAGAGAGAGCAGATTTCTCCTGTTTTGGCTTCCTGTTAAGTCCAGAATTGAATTCAAAATCCTGCTCCTCACATACAAGGTCTTAAATAATCAGGCCCCATCTTATCTTAATGACCTTGTAGTACCATATCACCCTATTAGAGCACTTCGCTCTTGCTCTGCAGGCCTACTTGTTGTTCCTAGAGTATTTAAAAGTAGAATGGGAGGGAGAGCCTTCAGTTTTCAGGCCCCTCTTCTGTGGAACCAGCTTCCAGTTTGGATTCAGGAGACAGACACTATCTCTACTTTCAAGATTAGGCTTCAAACTTTCCTTTTTGCTAAAGCATATAGTTAGGGCTGGACCAGGTGACC